CAAAAACGCGCACACACACACACACACACACACACACACACACAGGTGAGCTTCAGCTTTAATCAGATTACACGCATAAGAAGCGACTTCACGTAATTCAGTGTCAAACACAGAGCTCAGTGGACTGATGGGAAAGCGCTGGTTAATGGTTGTTTGACGTGAAGTTCGTCTGAACAGCTGTGCAAAGACAAACTCATATCTGCAGAGGAATAACACCGCCTTGGAAAGTCTGATTTTATAACTGCATACTCAGAAATGTTCAATAGACATGATTCGTAAAAAAACTGGAAATATCAATGACTTTAAAAACTGGGATTAATGCTCAGCTGACTTTAAAAAAATTTTATTCGTTTGTCTTGAGCATCTTGAAAAGTGCATGACTTTTTGCACTTTTTTTTGCCTATTTTTCCAACAAGATATACACTTGAGAAGCAACACTGCATGCAAAATTAAGATTTATCATCATAGCTTGTTTTTAATATTTTGTTTACTTGTTTATACTTTTAATACACTCATATTAAAGACAATCTATGAAAACAAGTCTCAGACAGAGAGGAGAGCTGGTGCATGCTGGGATACACACCGATGTTGACTTACAGCTGACCATGTTATCATTTGAGATACAAACAAATAATAAAGATCATCATGAATGAAAGCATTTAGATGAGGTTACTCTCGTAGAGGCCATAACGTTTGACTGATGAACATAATCCACATTTATGATCTTTCAACCATAAAAAACAGACATTTCTAGTTAATCAATAATTTTATCAGCGTTTATTGTTAAGTACATACACCTGAGCGCTGCTATGAGTGAATGAAAGAATTTCCATAACTTTTCTGGAAAATCATTAAAAAAGAGATTATATTCCCAAACAGACATTTCTAGTTAATTCTATATTTTAGAGCTGAGTATTGCTAGAAACATTTATGTTCAATCTAGGTACATTGATCTTGTTTTAAGTATTATTAGATATTTTAATTGGAAAACAAAAAGACAAGAATGCTAAATACTGTATTAAGAATATGTTTGCTGAATCTTAATGCGCTGGAAGATTTTTTCACATTGTTTTTAACTACTTCAGACACAGAAAGGTCTTCCATTGCAGTGACACGAAATACACTCATATTAAAACCAGTCTATGAACATAAGCCTTTATATCTCATGCAGTGCAAACTGATCTTGTTTGAAGTATATTTAGATAACTGGGAAATAAGACAAAGATGCTACTATGTG